AGTATTGCATATGCATTTTTAAGTACCTTGAATGTTTTCTCTCAAAGGCAAACAACAGCTACAGGACTGGGTTGCTTTTACTTTTAGTCTTAGAATGCTATTTTCTCCATCTGATCAGTGACCCTCAGCCTAATTCAATAACCTTTTATATTTTTATGTTTTTTAATCCCTGCAGAAGCACTGAGATAAGATGGGATAGAGAACCTAAATGGTACTCATCCAAAAATGTTCCCAGTCTCAGGATCTCAATTGCACAGCTGGGTTCTATTGGTCACATGTCAGCTTCAGAGCACATCTGTTCATTCCTCAAGGATCCACTAGGCCCCATGAACACAATGTGCTCTGTGTACAGTACTTTACACCACAAAACCCAGCAGCTGCAGGGGTGAGAAAATCTCTACTTCTCAAGTTTGTGTCTCTAGGCAGTTTGAGTAGGGTGTTTTCTATCTGGCTTTCTTTTGGTTGCCTGTCAGTTCTGACATTCAGATGCCTGTTGGCAACAAAGTTGCTTTTGCTATTCTCAGGACAGATGTTTCTAGCCTGGGAAGAGACAAACTAAATTTTTACTGGAAAGTAGGAATTCTTGCCACATTCAGGCACCAAACCTGAGAAAACATAAGGAAGATCCTGGCTACAGGCTCAAGAATGGAAAGGCAGGCCACTGCCAGGAAAATAATGTCCAGATCTGAAGACTTTTAGTTTTAGCCTTTAGGAAAAATATTTGTGTCAAATCTCCCCATCTCTGCTACTTCATGATGGCCAAAGGATACTTCCCTAGTAGAGCATGTGGGAACAGTGCAGACACCACCTCACCTTGGAAAGTGACATCTTTCTATTGAAGCATTTTGAGAACTGTTGGTCATATGAGGAAGAGAGAGACTGAGACAGAGACAGAGAGAAGGTTGGGGGAGTCCCCTTCATGTACTTTTGAAACTGTATGCATTGGAAAAGTTTGTGTGTTAATGAGATTGAGTTGGAATACCATGAGAGTGGTGCAAAAGAAACTGAAGATACATCAAAAGTGAAGACATTAAACATTAATGGGATAATGTCATAGACCTCATTAATTTGATTCATAGAAAATTACTGTTGTAGATCAAGGATGATATTATGAAGTCTGCTTTTACAATCCTCAAAGGCCTCATTGCTAGTTTTTGGAGGAAGGAGTAGTCTTGGGTCAACATATTTTAAATGAGATGTGAGGGACAAACATAGCTTATAATATTGTAACTAGTTTTTCCCCCCAGGAATGTGTCTATATTTATATAGCATAACCTGTTAAATCTGTACCAATGGCTGCAAATACAGACCACAGAAGCTTCTTTAATAACACACATACACCAAGCCCAAAATGTTCTACTCTGTCATTCATGTGTAAATCAAGTATATTATTCATATACTTCATCGACTTCCTGAATGCGTGCTAAAAATGCCAAGGAAAAACTCGTTAATTGTGACATGGTGACTGCTCAGCCAGCTCTGAGATGTTGATGGAAAAAGAAAAATTGTCAAAGGGCCTTTTTAAGAACTTCTGCAGGTTACACTTGCAAATCGGAATTCAGAGAACATGAATTTCCTCATTCAGGAAGGAAGGATTAAAATCAAACACCCTCCAGTGGTTGCATCTAAAAACTGCATAGTTGTCCCAAATGGCTTACTTGTAAAAGGAGTCTTCCTGTGTACCATTGAGTACCCAGGATCCAAATCCCTGCTCAGTCTGATGGTTGTATAATCTCAAAAAAAAAAAAAAAATGATCTTCTATGGACTATAAAATCTCTGCCATCCTAATTACTTCTTGGGTGTTTTTATGTTAAGTTCTTTATTTTTATTTTTTTTTTTAAGATTTTTTTTTATTTATTTATTTATCTCAGAGAGAATGGGAGACAGAGAGCATGAGAGGGGGAGGATCAGAGGGAGAAGCAGACTCCCCGCTGAGCAGGGAGCCCGATGCGGGGCTCGATCCCGGGACTCCAGGATCATGACCTGAGCCGAAGGCAGCTGCTTAACCAACTGAGCCACCCAGGCGCCCCTATGTTAAGTTCTTTAAATGTCAGGGTATACTAGGTGACAACGTCCTATCATCTCTTATTCAGCATGTTACAGTCCTCAACTCAAATCTTGTAGTTTTGAGCTCGGAAATATGGCCTATATAAGTGTGTTGATTCAATTGACCTGTCAGGTCACCAAAATAGACTATATGGGAGCATTAAGAAGATATAATTTGGGGATGCATCTTTTTCACCCTCATGTTGCCTGGGTCTGACTCTCACCTATGCACAATAGCTTCTTTTTTACATAATAAGCAAGTGTCATCTACTGAGTCTTAGGTAAAGTGACTCTCCTGTGTTCCATGTTATCCCCGTTTCCCTTTCTGATGTACACTATGGTGAAGCAACATTTTCCAGTTCAGAAGAACTGGCGGAGTTGATAAAGACTGCCTACTGTGGTGCTAACAATTTTGGAATGCAAGAAGACAGAAAACTCAGCACCACATTGAATCCTATTGAAGATGACTTAACAGAGAATATAAATTCCACTTTGGTAATGATATTAATTTAACACAATTTAGGATATTATCACTCTAAAAATTGATTTTGCAGAATTTCTACATTTAAAAAGATGCTCTTGGCAAAATAGAAAAAATAAATAGTAATTTAATAAATTAAGCAAAAATAGTAAAGAAATGTTTTTATTTTTTCATCAACGTTCAACCACTTATAAGTATTCTTTCTAATATAAAAAAAAGCAATATATTCATTAGCTTATTTTAAGGACTGAGACTATTCCTATGAATTACAGTTTTTTTCTTTCAGTAGAAAGCTCTTTTTTAGCTTTCACATTTAGGTACTGTCATGCAAAAATTTAAACCCTTACTTATTGCATCCTCATTATTTCCTCCTATCTTAGACACTGCTCAAACAAAATCAACAAGCACCTATGAAGCACCCAATGAGCTCAAATTTTCTGTTAGATCATGACAGGAGTATGAGGATAAATGAAATACAGTCCCTGCCGTCATGGAGCTTACAATCTTGCTGAGTAGATAACATATAAATAGATGGGAAACTATATAAAACAATAAAAGAATGTAAAATATCACAGGAGTAAAAAAGTTTATAGGCCAACAAGTAACTGTGCATGGTGAACTCTAGGGCTGGATAAATTATTATGGGCTTTTTACGTAGGCAGTGATATACAGAAGGCTAAGTAAGATTTGCAAAGATATAAAAGGCTAGCATGAACAAAAGCATTACAAGGACACACAATGTATATCAAAGGCACAGTGTGGTTAGAGTGAAAGGTATAAGTAGGGGAAATGGTAAGAGACAAGTTTAGGAGACCAATCTGGGCTAGCACCAGATTACAGAAGTGTTTAGCTGAGGGTTATGGATTTAATCCTATAGGAGATGGTAAACAATTTAAGGTTGAATGGGGGAGTGACATGATCAAGGAGTTATACACATTTGTGGAAATGGATGAGAAGAAAAATAAGGAAGGCAGAGAGTAATCAACATTGTAGTAATGAGGTGATTTGGACCTACACTAGAATGGTAGAACTGAGAATGGAGAAGATGCAATGGACACTGGATTTGGGAGAGAGATCGAAGAGAGAAGAATCGAAGGTGACTCAGAGGTATCAGCAGGTTTCTTGGGGTTCAATCAATGTAGAAGTGGTATCTCAAGTCATAAAGATGAAGGGAATTACAGAAAGAAAAGAGTAGAATACTATGAGAAGGAGTTTGGGAAATTATTATGTTTGTGGTACAGGGAGGTAATGGACCAGTAAATATTGTCTTCTTCCTTTCTATGTACATTTAAGTGTGCGTATTCATGTGCATACAGAAACATACTTAGATACATATGCATTCTGAGAAAAGAGATAAACAACCAAAATCCAAGTGTTTCAAATTATCTCCTTTCAGTTTAGTGGCCTTGGTGGACTGCTGATAATCTGAATAAATGTTATGGAGTAATAGCATGATCTAGTGGATTAAGAACCAGAGTCAAATAGATCTAGGTTCTAATCCTAGCTCTACCATTTGCCAGCTATCTGATCCTGGACTTCTTGAACTTATTTTCTCATCTGTAAGGTGGGGGTAATACTATCAGCTCTTTTTCCACATAGGGTTATTATAAACATGAAATGAAATTATGTAAAAATGGAAAATATAAACTTTTTAATTTTGTTATCACATGTGTACAAATTACCATATTCTGATTTGTAGTCACATTTGAATCCCCCCCCCCCAAGGATAGACTCACACGCAAACTAATTCTAGCAGTTTTATTTTCCCTCAATGGCATTTTAAACTCTTTGAAGGGAGGGACATATTTTAGGCTTTTCTGTATTCCCCTTATGCTTTAGCCTGTACAGCACTGTGAACATGAACAGGAACTAAATATATATTTTTTACTTGAACCTGAATTTATTCTAAAAGCTCAAATATAGCTTTCAATATGTAGCATAATTTAAAAGTAGCATTCAAGCCCACATAGTCCAGAACTTCTTTAAAATAATTTAAATACACAGTGAAAGTTCTATATCCAATGGCCTCATGTACATATTTTTTAATGTGGATTTTTTTCTATAAATCTGGGAATGAATAACAAGGCATATTTTCAGTTATTAGTGACAATGACTGTAGGTATAAGTGGAAGCACAATGACAGAAGACCAGCTTTGGAACTGAAATGCCTTGAAAAGACTTGACTTAGAGATTTTTTTAAAGGATCATCATCTTCTCAGAACACTAGGGCAATATAATAATAATAAAAAAAATACCACTAAGGCACAATTTTAAAACCATACCTAAAATGTAAGTGAGAGTACCTTTTAAAAAATTTGGGTGCTAGAACACAGGCATAGTGGAGAAATTTGAATTTAATAAAATCTCCTGTGAGAAATAACTATCTAAATACTTGGCTCTGACATCCGAAGCCTCCATATAACTTCATAAAAGAAACAAAACTTTTTAAATACAAAACTTGAAAGTACTTACTTCCACTTGGAATCAGGTCCCTTTCTGGGATGAAGAGTTTATATCCATAGTGTTTTTCCAGGACATCTGGCAGTATTTCAAGAGCAAACTGCTCTTCTTCAGGATTGTCACAGTCTAAGGTATCTTGGTCCACTTTTGTGTAAGACAGATAGGCATCATATTCTTTGTTGTCTTTAATATAAAGAACAACAAGTGGGTTTTATGCATTAGTAGGTTCTTTTTAACTACTAAATTTCTATAACCACTAACAGGCTGAACTAAGCACTATAATTAGTGACTGTCATTAACAATTAGAAAAAAAATAAACCACATGCCATGTTATAAGAAATCTAGTACATTTCCACATAACCTAGTCATATGATATGAGCTTAAACTGTTATGGTAATGGGAAACCTATAGTCAAGACAGAATAAGAGAGAGAATTATTATTTTGACTTTTGGTGACTATACATATTTGTGATGTTCAGTGATGTGTGAATGATTAGCTCAGTGTGTTTGAATGCAGGACTAAATAGACCAAAGTCATGGATTTGAACTTTTTCTGTGCCAGTTGGCTTGGCTCTGTTACTTGGTCACAGACTATACCTCGTTTGCACAAATATGTGCAAGAGATCCAAGAGGGGCTGGGCCCTAGAGTGTGGAAGATCAAAATAATCCAGCCTCACTCCTGGAGACACTACTCACAACACATGCCATATTTCCAGTTGGTTAGTATCGTCATCTTCATATACAAAAAGTAGTTCATTACTAAATATTAGAGACAGCAGCTGGGTTTTATACAAGTGCATTGTCTGTTATTCTCGTTCAATCCATGGCCAACTAATTTGACACAAGCTTCCAAAAGAAGCCTTTGTTTCGAAATATACATCCTTCCATTATTGCTAAATTAGGTTTTCCCTTCACACATTTAGTCAGGGAGTTAACTGTGTTTTGAGAAAGTATTTTTTTTCCTCCTCTGCTGTACTGGCTCAGAGCCAGTCTCTCCAAAGAGAAAATGTAAAATGTTTATATATTTTTCCCTAAAAATTATTAATGAATACAGCTACTCAATCTATCAGTCCCCATTGGTTTTAGAAAGGCCACATTGGAAAAGTTATAGTGGTTTTCAAAATTCCCTTATTTATAGAAAATTATTTTTAAAAGTTAATGTAGTGAGCATAGACTTAAGTGAAACTGTTAATATTTAGTAAACCTTGTTACTTGCAAATAATAATTTTAAAAGGCAAATATTTCAGGATTTGTTTCTAAACCTCATCAATATTTTCCATTAAAGCAGACGTGATTAGAATTTCGCTAAAACCTGACCAAAAGGTAATTTACAGAATGAAGCACTCATCTATACCATTAATGATTTAGTTCTACCTACTAAAGGAGAAATAAATGATAGGCATATGAAGAGATATAAATACCTTAGGGTAGAAGTACGTGGGACCCCCTGACTATCTAGAGATATCTGAGGCAGGATTATATTGTTCTAATTCTAGTAAGATTCCAATCTTCACCACCCCCACATGAAAGGAACTCTGGTTATTTATGTTATGATGGTGCCTGAAGCCAAGAGGTTTTTCTTTAGCATGTCCTCTGGCTGGAAAAGGCTTCCGTAAACCTTGGATGGGTTACTTGATTGCCAAGAAGCAGATGCACATGAAGGACTGCCCTGGATAGTTGAGATCATTTGGCTTATAAATGGGGCACATTCCACTCTTATGCATAAAACACCACTTGGAAGTGAGAATATTCATAAGCAATGCTAATGTAAGAACCTCCTGGTAATCTTAGCACCTCTGCCCCTGTTCCAATCAAACTCAGGATGCACCTGCAAGCCCTTGACTTTCTCCAGCTATAATTACTCACCTGGGACTTAGAGCTGCCGATGATACACAGCTGGAAGAATAAAATAGGCCAAAGGACAAAAAGATCCATTCCTATGAACAGAATGTATTTCATTGTTCTTAATGGATGGTGCTGCTGCCTCAAATTCCGCAGTGTCAGACTAGACCCTTGTTTCCTCTGACTTTGATAACTTTTCTACCTCGCAAACTCCCTAAATTCAACTACTTATTAATTTATTCTACAATGATTTGTTGAGCATCTACTATGAGCTAGCCATCTGCAATGACTACCTCTTTCACTCATCTGACCAGGCCTTTATACTTTTGCCTCCATTGCTTATCCTAAGACTATTTGCCCTCCAACCATGCCTAAACTCACATATTCTTGGTCCTTACTTGCTTCATCTATACCCTAATATATGTGATGCTACAGACTTTCTTCTAGAAAGATATTGCTATATTTGCATATCCCAAATCAAGTTATAATAAAGAATATGGATGCCTTTGATATGTGTTAACACCTAACACGTCTGGATAATAAATTTTACCTAACATTCTAGAAGCACATCATTGTTTTGGAAAAGGGTTGCTTCTGATTTTAGTCATGTCCCTTTAAAATGAACTAAAGATAAAGAGCTTATAGTGTCTGGACAGAACAGGAAGAGCGCTCTCAAAGCCACCATGTCAGATGTCCCAGAAGCTCTAGGATGCCAGCTAGTGAGCAAGCAGTGATGCAGATGCCATAGTTTTAAAAATGCACTTCAGCCTTATATAGACAGCCAAGAAAACCTCATGAATGGCCACAGCTGCTGCTCACAGACAGGAGCAAGATGGAAGAGTAAAATCAACATGATGCAAATAAGGTTACAACAAGGCCTGAAAATTGCTTTAAAACCAAAAGGCAATGCAGCAACACCACTTTGCTAGGCAAGGCTAATGAGCCCTCCTCTGTGTTAAATCATGCTGACTAAGCTCATCTAAGGAACCAGAAAATAGAGGACAATGCAGATGGCAGAGAATCGTAAGTAAGTGGGCTTGCACAGCAATTGCCATAGGTATGTTGTTCCCAATGAAGAAAGAAGTTATGAGGAAGGGAACCAAACTATGGAAGAATATTCCTGCTGTCACACCTGTCCTTCCCGGTTTTTAAAGCTCATTTTAACCCTGTTCACCACCAGGAAGCCTTTCCTGTTTACAACCCAGTTCTTCTAGGGTTATGCTAAACACAGTGCTAAGTCCTTAGCTTCTAAAGTGCAGACTGTGTAACAGTGTTGATTTTATATCCCTAGTGCCTACTATAGTATGTGTGTGTGTGTTGATCCAGATGAGGAATATAAGTAAATATATCATACATAATGCCTGCCACATAGTAGACACTTAAATATTTAATGACTGAACAACGCAAAGGTCAAATAAATGAAGCAATCATGGTTTGGTGGATTAAAATGAAGTGAATTTTATAAAAAATGGCTAAGAAGTCAAAGTCTGTTGGATTGATTTTATTTTATAAAAATAAGGCATTTTTATAAGAACTTTCAGAAAATGCTACTATAGATACGAATCAAAAAGAAAACATGAACAAAATGTATAAGGATAAAACTAAGTTGTGTCCATGAGATGCCAAAGTATTTAAACAAAGAAATGAAAATTCGGAAGTTATTTAGCTGGTATTTGGCATCATGAAACTGAGTATTTCTAAAAGAGCTTTAATATTCATTTATTCATTCTCACCACATACCTGCTGACTTTTTAGTTTCCATTCAGCTAGTAGGGGTTATGTATTTAAGGTCTAAGTTTCCATGTAGGAATAAAAAAATATTTGAATTCTCCTTCCTAATGAAAACCCTTGAAGTCCCTTCCTTCCACATTACATTTTCTCCCTAAAACAATTGGTTTGGAATCAATACATACAATTCTCTAATAAAAATGCTCTAGATTATTTGTCATCTTTGACCACATGGACCACCTTGGAGATGTAGAAGCAAAGTGGAATATTTTATTACTGAAAGGTCCTGTGATGCTAGCATGAATTTAATCTTACAAATATGTACTACAATTGATCAGTTAATCTGGATTATTTGGTATGGGTGATGAATGTAATTAATTACTGCAGATTAACTTGATAAATTGTATCATCACTTACAGAGAGTATTGACAAATTGCTTATATTCATGACTCAAAACAAATTAATCACAGGAGCCTTCCTTTCATGGTCTTTCATTTAGACAATGCATCTTACATTCCCAGTTGGATAATTTAGCCACTTGTTGGCACCTGGGAATCAGTGACTTTTTCCTCAGTAGCACATTTCATCTAGTTATTTTACATGTGCAGGTAAGAAGTCATATTTTTCTATATTAATTCCTGTATATAGAAACTGATTGACCACACTTTCATATATATTGTTGGAGCACATCATTATGGTTAGAACAGGCTTTAATCTCTCATTTTGAAACTATGTCTGAATAAGGGTCCGTAGTACTTTTAAATGGGATGCTATAATAATTAGGTAAATATACTGCTTTGATAAAGAGCATGCACATGTACTCATCAAACAGCATTTCTCTAATTGACTATGAAAACATAAAAGTCAATTAAAATCCACTCATATCATTATTTACATCATAGAAAACATAGGACCAATATCGAAGATTCCTCAAAAATTGTTTTACAGTCACCACTCTGCCCTTCTTCTACCACTATAAAAATAAACAAAATCATGAATCCTTCTCCTTTGAGGTAAGACCATGATCTTAGAAAAACAAAAGCTCTAACCTTCATTATTTCAATATAATGAAAAGTAGAATCCAAATCTGACTTTTTAATGACTTACAAATGGACTTATTTTTAATCTTAGTTTACCTAAGGCATTCCATACATATATTTCCAAGACTTACAGTAGTTTGTGGGTGACGACTTTATGCATATCGAGTTACATGTCATGATTTCTTATTGGTATTGATTTGATATATGGTAATTTATTCTCTTGAAAAATTAAATCATTTTAGAATGTTCAAAGAAACAAGGCTCAATTCAATGCTTTATTGATATTTCATTCAAAAGATTTCCAAGGGCCCTAGATGGCAAACATAAGAACATTATAAACTACATTCTGAATTTCTATCCTTTAAAGTCATTTCTGAGACTGGTTCTACAATCATCCAAAATATGTGGATCCATATTGTGAGTTTGAAAAAGAGAATCTTCATAGCTTTTAATCAGTTTCCTAAATGATTTATTTTTTCAATGCCAGGAATAGCTGAAAATGATCTGTACCAAACAATGAATCATGGAACACTACATCAAAAACTAATGATGCATGGTGATTAACATAACATAATAAAAAAATTTAAAAAAATGATCTGTGCCTAAATTTGAATTTTCTGGAGGAAAATAATGGAATTGATTCTTAATTTATTTCTTAGTAAGGGGAGGGTTTTGACAGCAATTGTTTTAGTTCCTGATCAACTCATGTCTCCTTGTTAAACTGTTTATTTATAAATAATGTCAAACATTACAAAAATAAAATAGTTTCCAAGAACATCCATATATCCTTTACCCAGATTCTCCTATTGTTAATATTTTCTCCCCTTTGTTCTCTTTCTTGATAAATGCATAATTTTTTCCTGAACTTTTTGAGGGGTAACTTGCTTTAGTCATAGCCCTGTAACTCTAAATATGTCATCATGTATCTCCTAAGAATAGGGATATTCTCCTACATAATCACAAATTCATGCCCTTTAATTGAATTTGAATAGGAGACAGCTTACCATTGGTAGTTTCATCACTTCCAAAATGCTGTCGGTAGAAAAGCATCAACTCAATATTGTAGCATTTGTAGATGACCACAAGGAGTACAAGGAGGAGGAAGATTGCTCCCAGGCCTCCTGCAAGTTCAATTTTGTAGATTAAATCTGGAACCAACAGAATAAACAGGAAAGGGTAATTAAATCAGCAACACTTGGGATCTTTCCATATTTCTAGTCTGTAAGATGCACAGCCCTTTCTGCTTTTCTTTCCAAAAGATTCTTGCTTAATGCAGTAAGTAGCTTTGTTCTCAACACATTTGTGTAAATCAAATTTTCATAAAATTAACTCTTTTCTAAAGATTTGAATACTTTTACTGTTAAAAGTAATGTCTATTTGAAAAGGAATAGTCACTCCCAATTTGTTCTGAACACATCTAGATCTTACATATATACTTTTATTTTATTGTATCTCAGGGAACTGTTAGAACTGTCTTTTTCTGGGTCTAGGGCCAATATTTTGTTGTTTCTGTTAAATGATCTTATTGACTTAGTAAGATTACCATCTAGTACTTCTCAGGCCACAGGCCCTATTCTTCTACATGAGAAGAGCATCATAAAATTATTCTCAGAATCAAATAAAATATAAAATTGAATGAGCTTCAAGATTTAACTGTTTCATTTAACCCTAGGAAAATAATCCAATAGAAGGTAACCTGGGAAAATTAGCTTATCCATTTTCCCTACTTATTTGAATAAATGACTATTATATGTATATAATATAATATGCCCAGTGGGGCTAAAATTGAATGAGAAACCCAGGCTAATAACTTGGACTATTCAGCCAACACTAGGCTACCTGATAGTAGCCCTAAGCTGCTCCAGTGGGGCACCGCTAGAACTCTAATAGCTGGAACAATTAAATCAACACATAATGGAAGGAGACATAATGTATCCCAGGCTCAGAGAATGTGGCTTACTTGTAGTTTAATGAGTGATATTAACAAATCTAAGGGGTATCATCAAAAAATGGGGATAGTACCATGGAATTTAGAGAAATGGGAAGTCAGAAGAGAATTTAGAATGTGAATTCAGCAATGTCTAGAAGGGAAATGCTGAATCTGAAAGACACCGGACCAGAGACCTATTTTCCCCTGTGAAATAGGGATATTCATTCATCTTAACATGACATAGATAAAATTGCCTAAAAGATTAGCTAACCTCCCCTTAATCGAATTCCATAATTACTGACTTTTTTTTTTTTACTGTCAGTTTTGCTTACCATGTAGCTAGAAACTGGAAAAGAGAGTGACATTCTAGTTTGTATATCAGTTGTTTATGAGTTTGGTTGACATCAATCAGCCTCCCTGGATAGGTTAATTCTGGGGCACTATCAAAATCAAATTTCTGACCATGACAGACTGCCACTCCTGAAGGTCCTTAACAACCAGATTGTCAACCTTTCCCTGGGGATATCCCTGTCTCTACATAGGCTTATTGCTTAAGAGAAACTAGTCAGGCTCAATATGACATTAAGATTAAGGAAAAAGATAAACATATATAATATATACTACATATAATTTTTACTACACATATACTGCATAGTATATATAATATACTACTACATATATATAATAGATACTACAAGTAATATATATTATACATAAAATTTTCAACCAGTCTGTTAATCTATTCTCTAAGTAAACCTTTAGGGCAAGATTCCTATAGGGCAAATTTATAGGTGAAGAATCTGAGACTCAGTAGTTTAATTCACTTCCTCAAGGTCATACACCTAAGAAGTGGCCAAGATTGGACTTGAGCCTAGATATTCTAATTTCAAATTCAAGACTCCTTTTGTTACATGACAGTTTTAAGAGCTTCAGCCTTCAGGTTCCCTTTTGCTTCTCCCTTTTGCTCCATAGAACTGTTGGTAATGCTTCAGAAAACATGTAACTTGCAGTGAATTTTGGCTCCTCTGCCCTTTTAATTCCAAGGAAATAACCTAAACTACAATTTACCAGGCAGAATGAAAGGACTGAGTAAGTCTCAGGCACTTCATTAAAGGATACTGAAGAATTCTGTAGCTGTACCAAAGAGAAAAGAAGGGCCCCCTGGAGTTCAGCATATGAAGAAAAGTTTTAGGTTTCATGGGGAAAGAGGGAATTTGGTCTTGGAAAGGAGGTAGAGTAAGAGAAGAGATGGTAGAAGCCAGAGACAGCATGGCCAATCAGAAAAGTCACTGAGTGGAAATGTAAGAAGCATAAATAAATGTCACTCTTTTTGAGTAAGGAGAGAGGGGGAATGATGGAGAAAGGAAGGGAGTGGGGCTGCTCTGAGGGACAAAATATATTAATAAAGAATATCATGAGCAGACCCATAATGAGTAGGGATAGGAAACGAATCTATCTCTGTCCTGCCTGCTGTGAGAGGTAGTCATTTTGAAAATTGAGCCACAATATTTCAGGTAAAAAAATACTATCATACATTAGCTCTGCCTCCTGCCCTCTATATAGAAAGTAGCTCCCCAGGAGCCACTGCATACCTCTATATGGGTGGTAAGGCAGGCTTGCTTATGAGACCTGTGTGGAGCTACAATATCAAAATCTTTGCTTGTTTTCTCACCATCTTACATCAGTTATGCATTCTTAACAGCCAGTGTTAAACTGACAGAGCAATGATTTTTTTTGTTACTCTAGAAACTGACTTCTCTTTGATCTTAGGACATTGATTGACTTGATTCAACATGTTTTTCCTGCTATAAAATGTTCATTTTATGTTGTAAATATTTTGGACTCTTTCTCTTTCCATATATTTCTCTCTCTGTCTCTCTCTCTGGTCAGAATAGAATTCAACTGCTTTCAAAGTCACCAAATGGGAATTTTTTTCAGCAATTTCTATGCTATTTACAGAGTAGAGTTGCTATTAGGTACATGGAAAACTTCAGCAGTAGGAACAATTTGTGCAGACACCTTTTTTCAGAAGTAAATTTATGGAAGAAAATCATGGTGTGAAAAATACCTTTGTGGTTTGGGGGTCCATTTTATAAAAATGTCTTTGAAAGATATTACCTAATGATGGCTGTTTACGTTGAAAACTGTACCTACTCCCTGAGACTCAAACAGTATTCTTTGATTCAGCCCAGGCAGAGACATTAAAAGGGAAACATGCATCCTATAATCAGAGAGCAGAACTGCCATCACCCAGATTACACCTGGCTTTTCTTTTGTCTTCTGTTTCAATTGCCATTGTCCATTTCAGTAGGATCTATACTTCTAGGGATATTTCCTGAGAAGGTGAAAGTCATTTTATTTGGACTGTGTCTTATATACACATCACAAGGATAGCTGTATCTAGAACAGCAAATATTTATGGGATTGTAACTTTTTGTAGGCCCTAAAAGTACAAGTGTAGTTCTTTTTAACCTTCTTAGTTTGAACCCAACTATTTCTTCACTTTGAACATGAAGATGAGACATTATAGAATGGGACAAATAGCAGTTGAAGCCAAGGGACTAGAGAGAGGGAAGACTGGAAATGTTTTGAGCTAGCTCATAAGTTGGGAAGCAGGTTAGGCGATCCCACCTGAGGGTTTCCTATGGAGATTGGGGGTTCAGCATGGGGCAGTAGCACTGGGAATGAACAGAGAGATTCAGTGATAAAATTTGTTTGTGGGAAAGGCAGTATGTGCAGAGAAGAAACAATTACCAGAATTTCCTTAGCATAAATTCAGTCTTGGTTCACACACACACACACACAAATAGGATAGACTTCTTACTAAAATATTAGTTGTAATTGTTGATAATAATTCATTAGGGAGTGAGCAAGTGGTAGGTGCAGGTAAAAGACGCATAGGTAAGGGTTGTTTGGCTCTGAGAAAGCCTGACCCTGTTAATTGGATATATTAGACATGAGTTTTCATCTTATGAAAGGCCTTTTCACTGTATGAAAGGATTCATCAAATGTTTCTTCTCTGTAATTATCACTTAGGGCATTTTCAATGTTTGACTTACAGCTCATCAGGAATTTATTGTTCCATAAAAAAAGCCATACTCATATTCCAGGTGGAAACACTGTAGCCACTGAGGCCGGGCTATGCTGTGATAAAGTTTGCAATGTTCAACTCCAAAGGAAACATCTGAAGTTTTGCAAGACAAGCCAGAGCTCAGTCTGATTAAAAATGTTGGAGCAGAGCCATAAAGCTTCTCACTATTTTCTGGAGCTCTACCATATTGTTGAGAGCTCCTAAGGAAAATGGAATAAGCAAAGATGAACTGCATCATTCTGTAAAGCACAGCGAAAAAATGTAACTGCTACCTAAACAGGGAGTGCACACTGGTATACCATGCCCCCCCAAAAGATTTTATTGTTCTATATAATATTTCCAAAAAGTGAATACTAATAATTAAAAACCAAAAGATTGCATACCTAGTCTTTCAACTTAACTTGAAAATTCAGAAATTCTCTTATCCCTGGGTTTACATTTCAGCAAGCATGGCAATAATCTCCTAGAAAAGAGCAGTGACTACCCCTTTAAGATGAGACATGTTTTCTCTAGTCTGTGTTTTTTTTTTTTCCCCCTAATATCCAGCCTCTTTAAAAAAAAAAATTCACTATCTGCCTGGCCCCTGAGGTATTTAAGTTTTCAACCCCCAATCTGGAAAATGAATTTCTTTAAAAAGAGAAATGCATTTAGATAGCCCAGGGCAGACACTAGTCAAGAGAAAATCACAGATAAATCCTCTTTTTACCAATCCCTGTTATCTATCTCCACCCTATTGCTCTGGCCCGCTAGGAGGAGCATTTTCACCCAACAAGTATTTTTGAGCACCTACTATGTTCTATGCCCTAGGGATACAGCAGTAAATAAGGTAGGAAAAGTCCATGCTCTCATGAAGTTTATATTGTAGTGAGGCGGGGGAGATAAAAAAATAAATACCCCATCCCCCAACCCACTTCCATGATGGGCATTAAGAAAGGTACATGATGTGATGAGCACTGGGTGTTACACGCAACTGATTAATCATTGAACACTTCATCAGAAACTAATGATGTAGTATATGTTGGCTAATTGGATTTAAATAAATAAAAAAAGAAGAAAATAAATATGTAATAAGATATCAAATAGTAACAAATACAATAAACAGAAATAAAGCCAAGCAAGAGAAAAAAAACAGTGATGGGTAGTTCATCAGTGAATGATTAGATCAAGAAAATATGTCATACATACATATAATCGAATATTATTTCCCTTTGAAAAAGAAGGAAATCCTGTCATTTACTAAAACATGGATGAAACTGGAGGGCATTATGCTAAGTAAAGTAAGCCATAGAGAGAAAGGCAAATATTATACTGCATGGTATCACTTATATGTTTATCTTTATCTAAAAAAAAAACAAAAACCCTGAAGTCATAGAGAAAGAGAATAGGAAAATGGCTGTCAAGGGCTGGAAGAAAATAGGGAGAAATTGGTAAAAGGGTGCAACCTTTCAGTTGTAAGATGAATAAGATCTGAGAATCTAATGTATAACATGGTGACTGTAGTTGATAACACTGTATTGTATAATTGAAATTTGCTAAGAGGGCAGAATTTACAGGTTCTCACCAAAAAAGAAGAAGAAGAAGAAGAAGAAGAGGAGGAGGAGGAGGAGGAAGAGGAAGAAGAAGAAGAAAGAAGAAGAAGAATTAGAAAGAAGAAGAAGAATTAGAAGAAGAAGAAGGTAAATATGTGTGGTAATGGATGTGTTAATTAATTCAACAGGGGTATACTCTCACAATGTATATGTATATCAAATCATCATGTTGTATACTTTAAATATCTTACAACTTTGTCAATTTTACCTCAATAAAGCTAAAAATTTTTAAACAAAGAAAGTGCAGATACCTTGATATATCTGGTCATCACAAAGAGAAGGCAGAGAAACTGAAGCAGTCCCTTCCCCCAGATCTGGCAGTGAAGGAGATGAAATGGACCTGGCCCACTGATTTAAACTGTACTAAAATTTCTAAAATTCTAAACAAAAGAAAACAAAAAACAAAAACAAAGAAAGTGATGGGTAGTATTATTTTATATAGTGTGTCCAGGGAACGCTATTAAGTAGGTAATATTTAAGCCGAGACCTATATGAAGAGTGAGTGAGTCATGGGAACAGCAGGGGGAAGAGTGTTCCAGGCTCAGGAAATAGCAAGTGCAAAGACCGTCAGCCAGGACTGTGCTTGGTGAGTACAAGAAATAGAAAGGAAGCTAGTGTGTGTGATATTTGAGACAGATAGGCAGATTGTAGTAGAAAATGAGATCAGAAATCAGAAAAGATTATATCATGCATTGTAGGCCATGGCATAGATTTGGGATTTCATTCTGAGTGTAACAGAGAGGGTTCTATAATTGGAGGGTTCTGATTAGAGGAATATGATCTGACTTACATATTAAAAGGATCATTCTGGCTACTGTGATGGGGGACTGTGACTATATGGGGACAAGGAAGAAGCTGGGAGACCAGTTAGGAGGCCATTGCAGTGAGCCAAGCAATTGATGATCATGGCTCAGACTAGGGTGGTAACAATGGAGGTGGGGAAAGTCATCAGAATCTGGACATGTCTTGAAAATAGAGCCATTGGTTCTGCTGGTGGACTAGACTGAGTCCCAGGATTTTGGCCTGAGCAACTGGAAGGATGGTGATGGAGATGGAGGAGGCAACTGGAGGATCAGGTTTACAGGGAGGAGAAATCAGAATTCTTGTTTGGGACAAGGGAAGCTTGATATGCCTACTAGATATGTCTACTACTGGAGTTTTTGAGTAGTTGTTGAATAGGCAGTTAGGAATGTAACACTGGAGTTTAGGCAAGAAAATCAGGTGGGCTACAGATATAAATTTGGAAGTTGTCAGCATATATGTAAGTAAGCCTGTGAGTTGGAATGAAATCATCTAGGGAGTAAGTGAGAAGAGGGGACCAGAACCCTGGGGAACTCTAATATTTGGAGATGAGAAAGATGAGAACTAATATTCTCAGTTATTCATGCTTTAGATACATTTCCTTGCAGAAGCCATGGGAGATGGCAGTTATACAGTGTGCTTTGGTGTCTACTGTCAGATTATTAGAAATTTTAAGGGCTGCTAGTGGTTGCTTTCCTTATTAAAGAGAAATGGATTTATTTTTAAACCCAAGGCTATTCCTATCTCTGCTGACTGAATGATAGGAAACCTACCACCACCATTATTTTTCCTCATAGTAGTAACACTATGTATTTGTTGCACATTTTTTCGCTTAATGTTTAATGTTTGTCTTTCTTTGCACTCTCTCTACTCTGAAGACTATAAGCCCCACACTGGCTTGGGGATGTCTATCTTATTCATCACTCTATTTCCCAATACTTAGCACAATACTTGCTATACATAATCTTCAATAATAAAAGATAACATTCATTCATTAACCAGATGGGTTCTAAGGACCTATTAGTGGTCAGACATTGCCCAAGTTGCTGAGGATACAGAGTGCTGCAGACTCTGGCTTGGATGATCTCTGAGCCTAAAATAAGACTAGAATGAGCAGGAACAAAGTGATCTTTGCCATAAGGTATCTGGACATGATCAATGTCTGCCCGTTACGTAGGTGGACTATGTGGTTGCCTGGTGCACAGGAGAAGTTATCCAAGTTCTGCATAATAGCAAACACTGAGTGTGACATATTTCACACTATATCATTATCATTTGAGCCTCAAAGTATCTCTATAATGTAGATATTATTATCCATGTTTTACAGATAAGAAAACTGAGATTCAGGATGCTTCATCAGATAAGTTAGTCCTGCTGAACCAAGTAGTTGAATCAGTGGCCAAACCAGGATTTCTTCAACCAGGGTCTCCTGATTTAACTTTCCATATTAGACTCCTTTATATTTAGAAACTCCATTATTTTAAGATGGAATCAAATCCAGCTGAGTAAGAAATGGTACTAGAGAGATAAAAGCATTATTTTCAGAATAATGACATTTTCCTGCTTCCCCTAGAACTGCTTGCTGGTCAAGGTCAAGTATTAGGGTTGGCTGGAAAATAGAAATTCCATCTTGGTTAAGAGGTACAACTAGTGACCTTGTTGACTGAATCTGTCCTATTGCTCTATAGCCTAGACAACAAGAACACTGACTGAGAACATTTGTTCTGTTACAGTTACAAAAACTTTTGCCAATTGCACACATACAGAAAATTTAGCTTTTTGCAGTAATCAAGAGTTGTGGCAGGGTTAAGAGCCAATCTCAGAAGCTGCTCCAGCTGTTGGGATTGTTGTTCCTATATTTGCTTTTATCTCTTTTATCTGTAATTTAGTTTCTTTTCTTTGTCTATTATATACAATTTCCACCCTATCTGGAACCAAATTTAGAGAGGGATTTCCATAAATGCCAAAATATTTTAAAGGATATGCACCTGTCAGAGGCCTCTTAATAGCACCAGGTTGTATCATGAAATATTGTTTATAATCTTTATTATAACAATTAGAAGAATATTATGATATCTCTTCATTATTTTTATTTATATTTTAGTTTGGGAATAAAAAAGTGGCTTTGTTTCTTTTCCATTAATAAAATCCCTAGTTTCTCATTTAAGCAATACAAGATGGTGAAGTACAGAGAAAAATTTGCATGTCAATACCTATCAAATTTTTTTTAAAGATTTTATTTATTTATTTGAGAGACAGAGAATGAGAGACAGAGAGCAGGAGAGGGAGGAGGGTCAGAGGGAGAAGCAGACTCCCTGCTGAGCAGGGAGCCCGATGTGGGACTCGATCCCAGGACTCCAGGATCATGACCTGAGCCGAAGGCAGTCGCTTAACCAACTGAGCCACCCAGGCGCCCAATACCTATCAAATTTTATGTAACACTTATAACCAAGGTACACTTTATCTCACTGAATTTAACACATAACAATATTTCATTTTATTTATCTACTTCCTAATGGATAGAAGATTATAGGCATTGTATGCTAATATCCATAGCAAAAGAGATATTTTTTCCTTAAAAAGACAAAATGTTTAATAGAAGTTCATGCTAAATGATAAAATAAGGCCAGAAAGTATATTTAACTTCAATAGTTACTTGGTAGCTAAACAAACCATAGTAATAGTTATAAAAATAAATACCCTTTTTACGTAGCAGAACACTGGCATGTTTCCGTCCATTTCGGTTTTCCACATGGCAGGTATAATTTGCCAAGTCAGCCTCCACCACTGAATCAAAGATGAGTGCCAATTCAACTTCTTTTTCTCCAAGATGCTCTTTGAGGAGCCTGAAATAAAGACAGTATTCTTGGTTGAATTGGTTTGACTTGGGGAGAGAGCAGCCATGCAAAACTTGCAGTATGTAGCTCACAAGGTCCAGTGGGCATGGAGATTCTTAACTCAGTGGTATGTATGGAACCTTCAACACGAAAACACAAAAAGTGACTCTTGATGTGAAGATCAAATGGAAAAGGAAAGAAGTGAGGAATTCACTCAGCAAAAAGAAATATTACCATGCCAGTAGGCTTTGATAAATGAAGCCAACATGATTTGTGTGGCAAAAAGGAGGAAACATTGGGCTCTATGTTCTAAGCTGAATTTATGAAAACAAATTAGATTTTTGCACCATGCCATGAAGGGATAAAATTGATAGGTGTAGTGTTTGTGTTAGAAGTTAGAGTTTTGACAACAGGGGGTAAGAAGGTAAAGAAATGAGCCCTGAAAATGGTTATCTTATAAAAAGTAAACTGAAAGTGTTTAGTGGCCTTCTATCCTCAAATATCCATGAGAAGTCTGACCTTTACTTTCCTCTTGCATTTGTCCAATGCAAGCACGTGTTCTGTGCCCTATCCTGCCAATGATGCTAGTCCACTGCCATGGTCCTGCCTTTTCCAGACGCTGTTCCCCATTTGTCTTTCTCCTTTCTCCCCTCACAGGGAAAACCCTCCCCTATGTGACATTTTCTCATAGTCCTGCCTTTTGCTTTCTCAAGTGAAGTTGCAGAGGGCCTTAAATGGCCAGGAATAGGTTTTCTTTACAGAGGAACTGAGTTGCCAGAAACCTTTCCTAAGAAGTGTGTTTCCTGTTTCTTCAGAGAGATATTCTCACCAATGGCCAGCTGCCTCCTGAGTGAGGTGAAAGTGGGTACCCTGCTGACTTTTCTGTTTCCTGCTTTTTTTTAAAAAAAGATTTTATTTATTTATTTGAGAAAGAAAGAGAGCGAGAGAGCAAGAGAGAGCATGAGCGGGGGGGGGGGGGGCGGGGAGGGGCAGAAGGGAGGGAGGAGCAGACTCCCCACTGAGCAGGAAGCCCAACTCAGGGCTGGATCCCAGGACCCTGAGACCATGACCTGGGCCCAAGGCAGACACTTAACTGAATGAGCTATCCAGGCACCCCGTCTCCTGCTTTTGACCAGAGAAAAAGCAAATTGCAAGTCTACATGGTGGCAATCATGCCTTTAAGTTCTGGGGTGAGGTTCTTTTTTTTAAGATTTATTTTATTTGAGAGAGAGAGCAGGGGGAGGGGCAAAGGGAGAGGAAGAGAGAGAATCCCTAAGCAGACTCCCTGCTGAGGATGGAGCCTGACGCAGGGCTCCATCCCAGGACCCAGAATCCAGTTGGATGCTTAACTGACTGAGCCACCCAGGGGCCCCTGGGGTGAGGTACTTAAATACATGTATTTGCAAGATAGAAAACTGGAGCGCTGGAGTTAATTCTCATATCCTTTTCGGACACCTGGTTATGAATGCAGAAAAGAACCCTCTGATTTACTGGCATTTAACAGAAAGTTGGAAAAGACAACTATGCTCAGAGAAAAATGGGTTCTAAGTACAGGCCTCCAATTTACAAGTTTAAGCTTGATCCTTACAAAGTCATTAAGTCAATGGTGCCTTAATTTAACTCAGCTTTAAGTTGAGAAAAATACCTACCCTACTCAACTTTGTCGTGAGGGTAAAATGGGTTAAAGTAATTTAAAAAGTTAATAGCATTGTATACATGCAAAGCAATGTTAATAAACATCAACATTTCATTATAAAAAGTAGATTGTTTACATTTTGGCTCCTACAAAAATAGTTATATTGATATTTATTGATATTTAAAGTTCGATTGTCTTAATCTCTTCTGGTTCCCCTTTGAGAGAAAGAAGACTTAAAGTTGGGTTGGTGGAGGAGAGTTCCTGGAATCTGAGTCTCCCACACAGAAATCTGAAGCCCAGATTATATTCCAAATAGTCATGCTTTTAAAACTACCCTGTTTCTGTACCCTCCCAGTGATACACATATCTGAGAGTTGATAATACTGGCATTTGTAACCTGAGTAAGTCTCCTGCCCTTTACGTTTATGTACCATTGCTGAACTAGACAAATGGAAGAATTTTCTTAACCACATTTTATTGGTAGTCTATTAACTTTTTTCTTCCTTGATAAAGTTGTAGTTTTCCTCTCTCAACATATACCTAACCAAGGGAAAAATTAGAATTTGCTGTCTTCATGGTTTATATTGAATTTTACTTTCTCCATTTTCTCTGTGCTATGAGTAAATCCCACTACACTCAATTCTTTTTCTTCTGTGTAACCTGCTATGGAAGAACCCTCTTTAGTGCCAGAATCTGCTTAAGCACCACAAATTAAGTTTGATTTAAAGCTTCATGTGTAGGGCAGCCACAGCCTCTGCCAGGCATGAGGCAGAAAGCTGATCCTCTCCTTCCAGACCAAGCCTTTCCCTCTTCATTTCTAATACAGTTTCCAAAAACAGCTCTTCACAGGCTGCAGAAAGAATCCAGAGGGAGGAATTGAAAAATGATCTGTCATCCATCTATTAATATATTTGAGGTGTCTTAATTATCAGCTCTTGAAAATCTAGAAGTGACTTGCTTTTTGGGAGTTAAAGAGTCAGCTGATGTTTATCTCTACTAATCACTCAGTAGAGCAATCATAATTTCCTAGCAAATATTGATATATAACAATCTACCACTGATTCTTTGTCAGTCACCAGCTAAGTGCCTAGCTCTGGGCTAGACATTTGGTGTAAGATAAATATAAACATTAAAAGACCAGGTCCCTGGGGTGCCTGGGTGGCTCGGTCAGTTAAGTGTTCGATTCTTGATTTGGGATCAGGTCATGATCTCAGAGTCGTGAGATTGAGCCCTGCACTGGGCTCTGTGCTGGGTGTGGAACTTGCTTAAGATTCTCTCTCTCCCTCTGACCCTCCTCTTCAGCTCTTGCATGTGTGTGCGTGCTCTCTCTTGCTTAAGATTCTCTCTCCCTCTGCCCCTCCTCCTCAGCTCTTGCGTGTGTGTGCATGCCCTCTCTCTAAAAAAAAACAAAAAAACAAAAACAAAACAAAACAAAATAAAACAGGTCCCTGCTCCCAGTAAGCATTAAAATTTAAAAAAGAGAAAAGATCTACAAAGTTGAAAAAATATACACATAATGATGTAAAGAAGAGTGGTACAGTCATGCTTACAACAGCTTTCAAAGACGGGAGAGACTATTTTGACTAAATTAACTGGAAAAGGCTTGAGAAGAGTCTGCCTAGACAAAAAGAATAAGGGAGTGTTTTCTAGGATGGAAGATAAGAACAGGTTTTTGCAGAATATGTGAAAGACACTAAAGAGGCTGGCTTTGGAATGGAGGATACAAATGAGAGGATCTTGGGAGATACTTCAAGTAACTTCAGAAGCATTTTACTCCAAGGATTAACACTGAAGGCAAGTTATATGCAACAGCAAACACCAGAAAAAATAGAAAATAATAAGTTCAGGTGACAGAAATTACCACCTTCAAAAGTTTTATTTAGTCAAGACCTATTCTTAAAAACTAGTACTAAAAAAAGCTTGGAAGTTGTCATTCTCATCCTTACAATAAGAAAAACAGCTGAAGAAAATTAAAATTAACAATGATTAGATCCATCAGAGAGTTGAGGTCACAGGGTAAACTCCTGCCCCAGAAACTTCAGACAGGCAAATACTGAGAATCACAGTATAGTGGGAGCAGAAACCAAGGAGCAAGAGCCAGTACAGATAGAAACAAACTATAACTGATAAGTCACTGTAGGGCCACTACACACTAACCAGAGAGTTTAAAAACTCCGTTAGATCTAATCTTTGGGGTACTCCATATTTTCAAGAAGTTTGCTTCTAGGAGCACTACCAGGGTCTTAGGGTGAAGATCACAGAAAAGTTTCCCTATGTTTCTGTCAGGGAATTAAAAAAAAGCAACTATCTTGAAATGAACCCAGAGCACTTCCTTCTTCTTAACAAAGGCCTGTCCTGAAAGGAAACTCTTGTATCAGAGCCTAAACTGCTTGGATTTTACCAAACCTAACCTTCCTGAGGGAAGGGAAATACAGTACCCAACTCCAGCCCCCTCAAACTTTCCTGTCTCACTTAAAAAGAGGAGGAAAGCTGAGAAGAAGTTGTGAAGGTCATAGTTCAGAGTCACAGGCTCACTAAAAGACTGAGACTTTATCATAGGATTATAGAATGCTTACCACCACATCAATCAGGCTCCTGTATGATAACAAGGGCTTTCAGCTGAAAGAACTGCAAAGCTCAGACCCTATTTAAGAAGGAGTCTCTAGGAAAACACAAAGAAAACAGTGGAGACATAAACAAGTACATTATAGGAAATTTTAGCTTCTTACACCTACAACTAGAGCAAACACTAAACCCAGCCTAACAACATAAACATAAAATCTCACACTAAAAGCCTATTTACTTCAGTTCCTCTTACCTGATACATAATATGTGGTTTTCTTTTCTTTTCTTTTTTTTTTTAAAGAGAGAATGAGAGACAGAGAGCATGAGAGGGAGGAGGGTCAGAGGGAGAAGCAGACTCCCTGCCGAGCAGGGACCCCGATGCGGGACTTGATCCCGGGACTCCAGGATCATGACCTGAGCCGAAGGCAGTCGCTTAACCAACTGAGCCACCCAGGCACCCCCATAATATGTGGTTTTCAAAAACAACAAAAAGTTACCAAAAAAAAGTTAAAAAGAAAAAAAAAAAAAAACAATACCCCCCCCCAAAAAAAAACCCCAAAGAAACAAAAACCCAAAGAACGCAGTCTGAAGAGACAAAACACGCATCAGAACCATATTCAGATATGGCAGAGATTTTGGAATGATCAAACTGGGAATGCAAAATAACTGTTTAATATGTTAAGGGATTCAATGGGAAAAGTGAACAATATATATCAATAGATGGGTAATGTAACCAGAGAGATGGAAACTAAGAAAGAATCAAAAGAAAATGCTAGAAATAAAAACACAGTAACTAATAGAAATAAAG